GAATTATATATAACACCATATGATTATATGAATACTACCTCCCGAGGGATGGTGAAGAAACCAACGAGATCAATCATAAAAGCCAATCTCAAGAAATGCCCCAGCCAACTCAGAACATGTCACATATACTCTCATTCGTGGAGTGATCAATAGAGAGACATTAGAAGGCCAAAGGAAATCCCAGCTCGGTTGAGTCTCCTCCAAAAGTATTTCTGCCTATGCGCTGGCAAACAGGAGAAAAAAAAAAAAAAAAAAAAAACATAGGTAAAGAGGATCAAAGTCAAGGCAAAATCCCATTAATGGATGTTTCCAATATGATTTCAACTTCTTAGTACCCTCAAGGTACGTGAAATTCCAAAATAAGCAGAGAAATGAGTCATTAGAGAGACATACGCGGTAACTTGAATACCATCAATGAAGAAAAATTTTCAATAAGCAGCATTGTAGAAGTCGTCATTTTTCATCTTTTTGATAGCATATGGCTGCACATGGCTACTGACATGAGGTGTCACCTTACAGCCTAAATTTTCGATCAACCTCCAAGGCCGTCATGACCGCCGGTTCCCCGAACACCTGGACACAGAGAGGGGTGACAGGTCGGCCGATGGAGAAGAATCAAGCTTCTGCCAAGGGAATAAAGCATCGGACGAAAGAGGAAGCGAGAACGATACGGATCCAAACTGGCTTGGGTGGGTCGATTGAGGCCTCTCATCTTCCGCCTTTCTTGCTATTCTGTACGAAGCACCTGTCTTCGATTCTTCAGAACTTGAAAATTTGGGTCAATTCTCCGCCACTTTCTCCAATTCTCTTCTTTGTTTGTCTCCAGAGAGACCTGCCAGAGTGTTTTCTTAATTTACTGTTACGGGTACTCTGGCGTTACAGTGGAGGTGGGCATGGAAATCTCCTGGTCACTAGGAATTCATGAGGGACCGCTAAGGCTGAGTGTCTCACTTCTCCCGCGGCCACAATCCTTTCCCCTCCCTTAGCTGCAAGCCACGGACAGCCATTTACGAATCACAATGACGCATCCAGATTATTCGTTTATATCTCCTTGTCGACCCACAGATAATGTTACATCGACACAGAAAATATCAAAGTACCGCATACTCTGTGACAGGGTTCTCAATCAAATCCAAAAGTAGTCAGATATTCTCTAGTAGTTACGTTATGGGGCCGATAATGTGTTGTAAACCACCACCACCTAAATATACCCCCTCGTTTCGAGACCCCAGTAGAAGCACTAGAGAAATGATGTTCGAATAGCTCCGAGGAGACTGTCCAAATTAGAATAGGCAGCACAATTTCCTTCTGGGATGCGTCCGACGCGCTAGATTCCATGTTTGACCCAGGCCTACCAACTGACTCAGTGTAAGTAATTTTACTGGAACTATCTCAAACGAAGAGGTTGTATTGTCAATAATTGAATCCGCTAGAGGCCCCCAAGTCCGAACGGATCCTACTCGTATCCTGGAATGCCGTGTTGAATGTGGACTCTGCTGGCGCCGATGCTTTAATGGCTATTTGCACCATTCTTCTCGGGCTTCGTCAACACGCTTCCACTTGTATCTCCCCTCATCCGTCCACCGCCATTGCGGTCCCTTGGTTCCATCGCCAAAACATGAACAGGAGCCAGATCCTCTACTTCAGGAAAGAAACCGGCTGCGATAGTAAGCGTGGTCTAGACAAATCATGATCAGCACGATTATGGATTTCTGTATGTCCTCGAGGGCCCTTCCAGGCTTGGAATATAGGCATTCATACGAGCATTATGAGATGACTGCAAAACGAGAGCCAGAACGTAGGGATAATTTATCTCCGTAAATATCTGGGTGCTCACCAAAGGAAACTCAATCAATGTAAAGATAGTGTAGGTTGAAGGTCATTACTCACCTAATTCCTGTAGTCTTGGAAAGGTCCCTGGGTACTGATATTTTAAGACCAAAGAAAGAACAAGCAGCAGCCAGTCTTTAAATTCGATGAAGGTGAGCGCGGGGTTTTGGCAAGGTCACCTGGTCTGTGTCATCATGCAGGCCATCACTCTGCCCATGAGATTCTAATTACTTCGTTTGGCCTGGATTATAATGAGTTAGGTCGGATACTACTTAACACGTCATGTCCATATATTCTATGCATAGCCCCTTTTCAGATACCAGGTAGTTATAAGAATGAGTCGTATCGTAAATCAAAACAATATAAGACCCTGAAACTTTCTTGTATTCTCCTCTTTCAATTCCCTTGATTCCCACCAATATAACCAGATTGTCTATCATGACAAAAACAAAAGCTCGACAAACCAGTTTTCCAAAATTCAAGTATAAAGACGCTGCGGTTTGTCTATTGTCCGTTCACCAGCTTGATTACCTCAAATGTTCTATGATGCCACATTCTTCTCCTTCTCTTTCTCTCCCTTCACCTCCTTCTCCTTGGGGTCATCTACCAGCTCATTATTTTGCATAACAAAGGTAGCTACTGCAGCGGCAACCAGAACCGCCATGGCGAGAAAGAACACCCCACGCGCTGCTCGAAGGTATATGCGAATTGCGGTCTCCCTCTCTAGGCCACTCAACAGGTCTAACTTGCTATAGTTATGCGAGATGCGGTCGGCCAAATCGGGTTGGTTGCGGAATAGTGAACTGATAGCCTTTACCGACAAGTTCTGGAAAATAGTAGCCGAGATGGTCTGCCCAATGGTGGTGCCAGTATTGCGCACAGTAAAGGAGCAAGACTGCACCACAGCGAGGTGTTGCTTGTCAGTGGAGGTAAGAAGGCCCATGAGTCTGGTCACGTAGGCGCCACCAGATCCGGCACCGTAGATGCCGAGATAGACGAAGGGTGCCCAGGAGGGAGTGGACTGAGTCATGGTACAGAGCATGACTGCGCCGAGCACAGAGCAGACCTGAACGGGGAAATTGATGTAGTAGTACTTTGCGGTAACCTTGACGAAGAACCCGGCGGCGAAGGAACCGAGTGCAAAGCAGAGTGCCAGCGGAATAAATCGCAGGCCACTTTGGCCCGGAGAATGGCCAAGAACCTCCAGATATACGGGCACGTAGTACATGATGCTGGTGTTGCCGAAGTTGGAGAAGAACGAGCTCAGTTGCGAGGCGGCCACGGTGCGTTGCATTAAGGCTCGGATGGGAATGTGAGGATTCTGGGCTTTGTAGAGTTCCCAAAGGATGAACCCCAAAAATCCCACTCCGGCAAGGATCAGGGTCGACAGAACGGCCGCGCTATCCCACGAGAACACTGAACCGGCAGCGTTCATGCCAAATTGGAAGAGGATGATGATGACCAGAAGTGCGACCATACCGATGTAATCAACAGGGCGTCTGATCGGACGGCTTTTACCCTGAGGAATATTGAGGTAGAAAGCGACCATTGCAATGTCAAGCACTATAAAGGGCACTTGAATTCGAAAAGCCCATTTCCATCCAATGGCGTTGGAAACGCCGCCTCCATACACGCCACCCAGAGCCAAGGTAACACCATAGGTGATATTACCAATGCCTTCAATCAGTGCTCGCTTCCTCATCGATACCAAATCGGTTTCGACAAAAGCCGTGATGGTGCCGATGCAGCCTGCACCGAGACCTTGCACGATTCGGCCTAGCAAAAAGACCGACAACGTGGGTGCCAGGCCGCACAGCAGTTGCCCCACAGCAAGTACCGAGAGGCAAAGTACAAGGCCATATCGTCGGCCCAGGAGGTTGGTTAGCTGTCCACTGAATGGCTGCGAGATGGAGAGCCCGATAGGATAGGTGGTGGCAACCCAGGAATACGAGGAGAACGCATCGAAATCATCGCATATGTCTTCTATAATAGTGGCTAGCATAGTGGAGTCTTTAAAGCATTAGCTGATTGTTTGCTGTCAATGATGGCGTATGCTGGATAGAAGGGGCGCACATACCTAAAGCACTGAGCAAGACTCCGAGCTGATAACCGTGTGAATTAGAGCCTAGAACCTAAAATAGATAGCAGCTACCAAAAGCGCAGGACAGCAAATGCTCACCCATAGACCAAATAATACCAGCACCAGGCGAGCTGTTGATGGCTCTGGATCCGACTCATCAGAGGTGCCCGACGGCTCTACATCCGCAGTATTGGGAGAGGGTTCCGTCACTGTCACAACCTCAATTGGGTCCTGATCCCTGTTTTTCTCCTCATCTTTACTGATATTTCGAGTATCAGCCATGGTAGGGGCAACGAAGGGGAGAGGAAACACAGGTATAGAATGGCAGCAAGAAGAAAAGTAAAAAAGAAACAGTCTCAGAAGGAGGGGAGTAAGAGGAAGCTGGGCTGAGCACCCCGGTTGCCTAGTGCTCGAGTACCTTTGGGCCCCCCTTTGTCTAAGTAGCAAGTCTAACCGCCGTCTTTGGCTTCGACCACTGACAGAACTTCCTTTGGTGGGGAATAATGTAGTATAGTGGAATATGCAAATTACCACCTTAGAGTAATTTCGTATGAATCTACACGTAATGTTATGTACATACCATGGCTCCATAAATACTCTAAACCCGTGCAGCTCGCCTATGCAGAACGCCTAAACGGGATGCCATAAGACAAAGTCAGTCGTGATCTATACGGATAATATCATTTGCTGATCTACCATGCACTGGCGGGTCTCATCTCTTTGCATCGCTCCAAGTCCAGACCTTACGAATACCACAAAGCAACCGGCGTCTCAAGCTCAGCTACAGAAGCATGTGTAGTTTAGCCGACGATATTGACCTCTGCTCACCCAGAATGGCATCCTCGAACTCGGTCGAGGCTCGGAGCACCAGTCCCAAATTGTGTAGGAAAATCATTTCGACGGGGAACCAGGTCTCTTCTCAAAAAGTCATCAAGCTCGGGTCCCAATACTGTCTATAAAGAGTGCCTTCACCTCGGTCATATCGACCAGGAATTAGTCTCAGATAGCAAACTGTCCTTCTTCAAACTTTAAATTGATACGCGATTCTCCTTAATTTCGCATCATTGGAAAACCGCTGTTTCCAGCCATCATGAATCAACCCAGAGTTGGAATCATTGGCGTTGGCCACGCTGGCTGCGCGCTCGCGGTCGATTTCGAAAGTCGAAACGTCAAAACCATCCTGTGGGCAGCACCTGGGCATCGCCGAGTCTACGACCGTGTGGTCGAGCAAGGCCACCTAGATGCCACCGAGGCCATCACCGGCCGGTTCTACCCTAGCCTCACGCAAGAGCTGGCCGAGGTCCTGCAGGCGGCCAGAGTCGTTTTAGTTGCGGTGCCGTCCACCGCCCATGATGGAATCATCGACACATTGGCGCAATACGACCTTAGCCAGCACGTCGTCATATTCATTACGGGCAATTTCATTGCGTCCATTGCGGCGGCTAGACTCCAAGCTAAAGCAGTCATGACCACTTCGCGGGCTCCATACTCATCCCGCACGCAGCTGAATGATGCCGGTGATGTGCAAATCCGAATCAATGGCATCAAGAAGAGGCTGGAAATTGCGCGATTCGGGAGACCAGTGGATCAGCGGACCCGCCATCACCTCGGACATTTATTTTCCATGCCCCTGGTCTGGTATGCAAACACGCTGCAACTGGACTTGTCGACGAACCACGGTGTGGTTCATCCGCCGACTATGCTGTGCAACATCGGGCCCATTCGCCGACAGGAGACGGGCCTGTTCTTCTACCGCGATTGCATGACGCCCGAGGTATGCGACCTCATGCTCGCCGCCGACAGGGAGCGGTTGCAGGTGGCGGCTGCCCTTGGCTTCACTCGGATGGAAAGTGTGCTGGACATGTTCAACGCCGACTATGGGGCTCAATGTTCCGACCTGGCCACGTTTGTCGCCAGCAACGCGCAGCTCAACAAACGACCTGGACTTCCTGGTAGTATGCTTGCACGCCAGGTCTCCCAGGATATTCCTTTCTGGTGTGTGCCGGTCGCAAGCTTGGGTGAGGCACTGGGCGTCCCCACTCCGATCATCAGCGGATGGATTTTGTCTTGCAGCACGCTGAATAAGACAGATTATCGTGCTGTGGGGCGGACGCTGTCATCTTTCAGTCTCCCGGATGGGGCATCCAAGGAGGAGATTCTTTTAGCGTTCAGGGCCTTCAGTGATGAAGGGAAAGACATTGGGAGTCTGCCAAGTCAGGGGTTTGCGCTTAGCGCATCGCTGTGAGCTGGAGAAGAAAAGACGTAGCAGGTAGACTCGGTGGACCATGGACCGGGCTGGACTGTATGTGTATGCTAGTGCCTGCAGGTTTCAGCCAGCCTCTGCTGATTGCGTTGATCATAAAAGAAAGTGGAGTGGGGGACAGTGCCAGAAGGAGTGACGCGCAGGATACTACAACATGGCGAAAACCTTGCCTGATTCGATTGCTGTAGATCTCCACATCTAATTTAACTCTCATATGCACAGAGACAGAATTTTTTTAGCATGAAGAAGGTTACATCCGGAGACGGACGGTTTTATTCCCGAGATCATAGATCCACATGGAGAATTTAGAATCGATGCCAGTTATAAGTGGGTGACGAAGAGATTTAGTGGAATATAGTCTTTCTCGACTAGGTATAATGCCCCTTTACCCCTCACAACGCCTGAGCTGGCTTGATTCACGCCAAGCAAGGCTAAGAAAAGACCAATAGAACTTAAGAAAGGCCAAGGAAGCTTAGCGAGAACTAAGCAATGCCCGGGTCTGACCCTGGTCCACTTACCGGGAGTCCGACGGGGGACCCGCACCGAAGTAATAGGTGCGAAGACTGCCGTGAATGACAGGGTTGATGTCTTAACTGTTAGGATTTGCATTTGAGAAGGGAAGAAACAAAATAAACGTCTCATCGGTGCTAATCGTTCTCACATAAGCCAACGTCTAAGTCCGCCTATCGGTTTTCCTTCATACAAATACTTACCAGCAATTACAGGAGGCAGAGGGATAGTGAGAATGAAACGTGGAATATAGTATGTTAAGGAACGTTGGTTCTACTTTGTAATATGGCTCGACTTGGATACAATGTCACCTCATGTCCAATCATGTTTTCTCCTCTCATCGCCTGGCCTAGATCTCGGCAAAAGGAGTCTCGTAAGGCTTCTCCGCCAGGGGTGCCAAACGCGCAATATGACGCCTTTGACCATCCGACCAATCAATCAGTGCCGTGTGCTGGGTAACCCGATTGTCCCAGACGACTACGCTATTTTCTTCCCACCGCACACGCACCTGGAAATCTGCGCCCGAGGCAATGTGGTCGTAGAGGAATTTGAGTAGCATGCTGCTCTCCTCTTGTTTGAGGCCTACGACTTCCCGTCCAGCTGAGTAATTCATCAGGTTAGTGACGTCTCCTTAGAAGTGTATGTAGGCATAGTTGGCACTAACACTGTGGGTTGACAAATAATGCCTTCTCTCCTGTAACCGGATGAGTCCGCACAATGGGATGCGTTGAAACCACGGGTTCCCGGCGCAGGATGCCTCCACGAGACAGACTGGTGTTTGCCTGTTCGACGCCGGAATGCACCACCTCCAAGCCGTGCAAGCGTTCCTGTATGGCGGGACTCAGGCGGCGATAGGCCTGAACGTTGTCACAGAATAGGGTATCTCCGCCTGTCTCGGGTTTCTCGAGAATGTAGAGAAAGGTGGTGCCAGGGGGCTGGGCTTCGTAAGAAACATCCGAGTGCCAGGCGACTGAGGTGGTTCGCGTCTCTAGGTAGGCTTGTGCACTGCGATCTCCCGCCGCGCGGTGCACCAGATGGACCTCGGGGAAACCCTCGGGAGAGCCCGAAGTTGGGTGGATGTGCAGCGGGCCAAAGTAGCGTGCAAAATCGACTGCTTTGTCGATGGGCAAGGAGGCAAAGTCCTGGGCGCGGAAAGCAACTACCTTACGCTCAGCCACATAGCGCGCGAGCTGATCCTTACCGGCAGCAGAGAGCTGGCTCAGCTGTATGCCGCGAATCTCCGTGCCAATGGTCGGTGTCAAGTGAGTGACCTGCACCCCGGGAGGCAGCAGCTCCGAGTAGCTCGTGTCAGCATCGAGACCGGGGTCGTGATGCTCAAAGGGCTCCAAGGGGGGATATTTCTGCGCAGGATCCCAGGTAGGCAGGTAGTGTGGATACTGGGAAAAGGTTTGAGGATGTTAAATATTTGTCGCCGTCAATATTAAGAGATAAGAGACAAAAGGAGCTTCAATGCGACTCACCTTGGCGGCGGGGTATCCCTTCCGACCTTCCTCGGCATCTTTGTCGTAGGAGATGGGCAGATGTTCCTTGTAGACACCCTGGGCTCCCTTGGCCGCGAGGCGTGCCGGAGTATTCTTCTCAGTCAGGATCGCCATCAGGTAGGGTTCTACTGTTTGTGTCGTAGTTCGTTAACTGAGGTTCATCAGGGGGTAGAGGAGGTCTTGCTCTAGGGTGATGAAAAAACTCCCTTTATAAAGCCGACGTGTGGGACCGGCTACGCGGCATATTACTTGATGACAATTCTGGATCATGAAAAGTCTCATCTCGCAAAGATCAGGCCACAGTGGAGAGAGGGAAAATGGCTAATGCAGCATGTCCTAGTCTGCCACACCGTCGTCTGCGGTTTTGGGCAGAGATTATAGTTGCATCCAATGAATTTTTCTCAAGCCGCATCAGTGTGTATCTGTTGGTAAGGTAAGTAATTAATTAATTCGTTTTGTCTTTTGCAATTTCTCACTCAGCTCTGTACCCCTCCCTGGGTGTACCGTCGATGGCTAAGGCTCAGGCTTCCTCGTAAGACTTAAAAAGGGTTTTGGAATACCAAACACACGTAGAGATCATCCAACAAGGCCCCTAATATCTGACTTTCCAACATGTCTGCCCAAACCCTTACGGATAAAACCTACCAAACATGGCCCTGGAACCAGCCCGTTATTCCCGAGGTCAGAGCGACAGCCCATGGTTTAATCTTAGGGTGGACGACATCACAGCCGCACTCGCTGGCTATCGATGCTTGGGATGGCGAGCTGACCTACAGCGAGCTAGACAGGCTCGTCCGGCGCCTGGCCGGATATCTGGTGAGTCGCGGAATTGGCACCGATGAGATCGTGCCCTTGTATTTCGACAAGTCGTGCTGGACCATCGTCTCCATGCTCGCCGTTCTTCAAGCGGGCGGAGCATTCCTCGCCCTAGACCCTGCACAGCCGAAAAGTCGTATCGCAGACATGCTTGTCCAAACACGATCCCGGCTGGCCTTGACGTCTATTAAGTACGCCGAAACCTGTCGCGAACTCGTTCCGGAGGTATTCGAGGTAGCCGCGGAGCAGCTTGGCAGCTTAGAAGACCCAGAGGACTTACCGGTTGTTAGCCCCGATACGGCAGCTTACACCATATTCACGTCGGGAAGCACGGGAAAACCCAAGGGGGTGGTGATAGAACATGTTCAGCTATGTACCAGCAGCTTGGCAGGCGGGAAATCCATGGGTTTTCACACGAGACAACCCCGCATGCTTCAATTTGCATCATACGCCTTCGACGCCTGCATTCTTGAGATCATGAACACGCTCGTTTACGGTGGCTGTCTTTGCGTGCCGTCTGCATGGGCTCGTATGAACGAATTGCCCAAAGCGATGAATCAGATGAAGGTGACAAGTGCCTTCTTCACGCCATCGCTGCTCCGCAATCTTGATCCTGCTTCTATGGAAACGCTGGACACCTTGATAGTCGGTGGAGAGCGTGTGCCGCGGAATCTGGTGGACCAATGGGCGCCGAGACTGAGACTACTCGTTTTGGCCTATGGGCCGACTGAATGCACGGTCGCTTGTATGGCGTTGGCAATCAGCGAGCCGACGCCGCACTATCAGAGTGGCGATCTCGGACAGACAATCACCGGCCGCGCGTGGATTGTCGAAGAAGATGACTGTAATCGCTTGACACCCATCGGCGGCGTGGGCGAGCTGCTCATCGAAGGGCCGGTCCTTGCACGTGGATATCTGCACAATGACGCCCAGACACAACAGGCCTTTATTCCTTATCCGCAATGGATGCCCGAGTCGATGCGCTTGTCGACTGGGCGCATGTATCGGACCGGCGACCTGGTCAAATATACTCCACAAGGGGGCTTCTGCTACGTCGGGCGCCGTGACAATCAGGTCAAAATCAGAGGCCAACGACTGGAGATGGGAGAGGTTGAGTATCAGCTTCAGAGCTGTCTCACTGGCCTTGCTATCGGGGTCGCAGAGGCCGTGGCTGAAGTGGTCACGCCGACCGGCAAGACTGATGTAGGGCCTATCTTGTTCGCGTTCCTACGCATGGCCTCAGAGACCGCGATTGACCAAGTTGGCTACCTCGACTGGGAAAAAGAAGAACGTGGCTCCCCAGTCATTGTCACGTCGGCTGCCCAGCAACAGAATTTTTCGACCTTGGTTACGGACATCATCTCGGACATGACACGAATCTTGCCGCCCTACGCTGTGCCATCGATTTATGTGCCCTTGAAGCGGTTCCCACTCTCAGTTTCTGGGAAGACAGATCTTAAACGCCTGCGAAGCATTGCTGGACAGCTGACTGCGAATCAATTAGCGGGATTTACATGTAACACCACTGACTTCATGTCGGACGAGCAGGCACATCCCACCACCCCCGTGGAAAGACAGCTTCAGGAGCTGTGGTCCAACCTCTTTCATGCCGAATTAAAAAGCATCGGTGTGCAAGATAATTTCCTATGGCTAGGAGGAGACTCCGTCTCTGCCATTGGGTTGGTCGCTGCGGCGCGGTCCCGCGGGCTCCTGTTGACAGTAGAAACAATCCTCTCACACCCAGTACTGTCAGACATGGCAGCACACACGAAATTTACAAAGGCGGAGTCAGAGGATGCCTTAGGGATGACTTCAACATTTTCCTCATTTGCGCTGTTAGAGCCAGGCGTGGACGTGGAGGAGGTCTGCAGACTGGCTAGTGGTCAATGCCAGATCGACCCGAGTCTCATCGAGGACATCTACCCGTGCTCGCCCGTTCAGGAGGCACTTATGGCACTTTCTATCAAGAGCCCCAGCGCATACCTTATGCAGTTCGTACACTCGCTCCCTAATTCAGTGGATTTGGAGCGGTTCAAGGCCGCTTGGCGGACCGTGGCCGTACATAACCCCATCCTGCGCACTCGCTTCGTCAACGATGATGCTCACGGAACGCTCCAAGTCGTCGTGAACGAGCAAATACCCTGGATTGAAGTGGATGACCAAGTCCCCTTGGAGTCATTCCTCGCGGAAGACTTGAAAAACCCACTGCGCCTAGGTCAGCCGATGTCTCGATGTGCAGTCTGGCGCCGCTCCTGCAGTGATTTCCCGGATCATTCAGGCTATCACTTCGTTTGGACAGTACACCACTCAATCCTGGACGGCTGGTCGTTACAGCTGGTACTATCTCGCGTACAACAGGCCTATGATGAAAAGCAGCCACAGAATATCTTCGAGAATACCGGGAGCTTTAACCGTTTCATCCACCATCTGTCGACAATAGACACTGACGCAGCAATAAACTTCTGGTCCGCAAAACTCTCAGGCGCTCCGGTGTCCGATTTCCCATCGCTCCCGTCTCACAGTCACCATGCAGTGGGAAACGCGCACCTAGACCTTGCAACTGCGGTTCTGCCCCGGAAGCAGGAGTCTGGGATTACCACCGCAACGATAATTAAGGCTGCATGGGTCTTGCTTGTCGGAAGTTATTCCAATTCCACGGATGTTGTCACGGGTCTGACCCTGAGCGGCCGCACGACACAACTTCCTGCAATTGAGTCCCTCGTTGGGCCGACCATCGCGACCGTGCCATTCCGAGTAAAATTCCAGAAGGACCAGCTCGTCATTGACCTGCTCCAGAGCATACAGCAGCAGTACCTAGACCTACTTCCAAACCAGCATATTGGACTGCGACAGATCAGTCGCATCAGTCCCGAAACCAAGGCTCTCTGCAATCTCCGCACCCTGCTCGTCATTCAGTCGACAGGGCAGCAGTCCAAAACGTCTTCTGACTTGCTCTTTGATACTAAAGTGATGCCAGTCCGTCTTGACTTTGCTCTGACCATCGAATGTACCCTCGAAGCAGCCAATCGTGTTCAGGTTCGCGCCATGTATGACGATCGTGTGTTGGAGCACGCTCAGGTGCAAATCCTTCTCATTCAGTTTGAGCACATACTCCAGCTTCTCTCACACGAGGAACCAACCACTCGGGTCTGGGAGGTCTGCGGCATTAGCGATGCGGGTATGACCCAAGTGCTGCAGTGGAATAATACAGTGCCCGAGGCATCCGACGCCTGTGTGCACCAACTCGTTGATCGGCGCAGTAAAATCCAGCCAGAGGCCCCCTCAATCTGCGCCTGGGACGGGGGGATGAGCTATGGAGAGCTTGCTGGGCTTACTACTTGTCTGGCATCTTATCTCATACAACAGCATGCCGTGGGACCCGGCGTGATTGTCCCGGTGTGTTTCGAGAAGTCCAAGTGGGCGATCATCGCCATGCTGGCTACCTTAAAAGCAGGCGGTGCGGTGGTTTGCCTAGATCCAGAGCACCCTACACATCGCCTGCAAATGATTCTGCAGGATCTAGGCGAGTCTTGTGCTGGATGTGTTCTTACGTCGACAAAATCTGCGACTATTTTCACTGCTATGGCGTCAATAAACCCTGTTACGGTACAATCTAGCCTATTCCAGGACCTACGAGCTTCGCCTTCACCCAAAAATCTGACACCCCCGTCGACTGCACCCTCGGACCCCGCCCTCGTCGTCTTCACCTCCGGCTCGACAGGCAAACCCAAGGGTATTGTAATTGAGCATAAAGCCGTCTGCACCAGTCTGCGAGAGCATGGAGCCGCAATAAAACTGGGCATTTACTCTCGTGTCCTCCAGTTTGCAGCCTACACATTTGATATTTCGTTTGGTGATGTCTTCGCCACCTTGGTTCACGGCGGCTGTATTTGCATCCCTTCCGCCTCAGACAGATTGAATGATCTCCCTGGCGCAATCAGATCGCTAGGAGCTAATCACGCCAGTCTGACAGCGGCAGTTATCAACCAGATTGAACCAGCAGAGGTGCCTGGATTGAAGGTCCTGGTATCCGCCGGCGAGGCAATGTCTAAGGACCTGATCGAGAAATGGGCGGATCATGTCCAGTTTATCAATATGTACGGTCCGGCCGAATGCACCATCTACAGTATCGGAACCAACGTCCTCCAGAGGACAGACGATCCTACCTTGATTGGCCGAGGAGTTGGCAGCGCGGTCTGGATTGCCGACGTGGGCAATCATAATGTACTGGCCCCAATTGGTGCGGTCGGAGAGATTCTAATCGAGGGCCCGATCTTGGCGCGAGGCTACTTGAACGACGAAATCAAGACCAGGGCTTCGTTTATAACATCACCACCCTGGCTACCCAAGGACCGGTCGTCGCGGCGTCTATACAAGACGGGAGATCTGGCGCGGTACACTAGCGATGGCCATATTAGCTTTGTCGGTCGCGCAGATGGTCAAGTCAAGCTGCGGGGACAAAGAGTCGAAATCGGGGAAATTGAGTACAACCTCCGGCATGTCCTTGCCGAAGCTGCAGTGACTGACCCAGTGGTGGATGTCGTTCAACTACTTGAGAAGAAGCAGAGCGCATTGGCAGCCTTCTTGGTAGTGCTAAATGAACATCCAGATAATGAGAGCGAAGGGGAGGAGAATGATTGTCATCATATCGTTGACAGCTCAGCAGATGCAGTCAAACGACTACATAAACTCACCAGGGGTTTAGAGAACAAGCTAGGAGCCACCTTGCCAGGCTATATGGTCCCGACTGTGTTTATTCCCTTGCGACGAATCCCTCTCTCTGCGTCGGGCAAGGTTGACCGCAGACTTCTGCGACAGCTTGCTTCTTATCTATCAGAGGACGAGCTGGCTTTGTTTCGGGGGATTAGTCAAAGCGAGCGACCTTTCACAAACTTGACGACCCGTGAGCAACAGCTCCGGGGTCTGTGGCAGAGCCTGCTTGAAACTCAGAGCATTTCATCCGATGACAACTTCTTCCACCTCGGCGGAGACTCAATAACCGCGATGAGATTAGTGGCAGCTGCCCGCAAAGAGGGACTGGCTCTCACCGTGGAGCAAATCCTGCGATCTCCGGTGTTATCTGAAATGGCAAAGGCGCTGATTCCCTGCGAACAGAAGGCCGTAACCCCCGTGGAGCCCTTTGCACTCTTACCGGAGAACAAGCAGGCTGAGCTCATCGATGTGGCCGCTTCGCAGTGTAGAATTCCAACCGCTGAGATTGAAGACTTGTATCCTACTACACCGGTCCAAGACTATTTCGCAGCGCCATGGACACGATACCAGGCACAGTGCGTCTTCATAATCCCATCAAGCATCGATCTTGTACGGTTCATGGCTGCTTGGGATGCGGTTGCCACTGCTCGGCCTTTACTTCGAACTCGTCTTATCCAGATAGACCCCTCACTGCTTGGTCGCACAACTGGCCATGTGCAGGCCGTGATAAAAGAGAACATCCGCTGGCAACGCGAAACCTGCTTGGAGAACTATCTAGAGCGCGATCGACAAGCAGTTATGGGATTTGGCGACGCTCTAAACCGATTTTGCATCGTGGAGGAGAATAGCATGGATGAAGACAGACGACGGTTCTTCGTGTGGAGCGGCTCACATGCCTCATACGACGGTGTCTCTCTGGATCTGACATTCAAGGATGTCGAGAGGGCATATCGCACGGGCAGCCCACCTCTCCGTGGCCTGCAGTTCAACCAGTTTCTCAAACACGTGCTCCACTCCGACATGAGCACCCAAGCCACAGCCTTCTGGCATTCGCAATTGTCTGGCTTTCAGCAGCAGAAGCAGCGCCCCGGTAGTGCGATCCTCTGCACTGTCCCCGATGGCTATCAGCCTAACCCGGAGACCAAACTGTGTCGTGACTTCGACGTTCAGCCGAAGAATGGTGGCCAGTCAGGAATAACTCTGTCCACAATGGTAGAAGTTGCCATGGCCCTCGTCTTTAGCCGACTCCTCGGCACCCCGGACGTAATCTTCGCGCAGTTCCGGACTGGGCGCAACATTTCCCTGCCAGGAATTGAAGACATGATGGCACCGGCAATGACACGCGTGCCTCATCGCATCGCAGTCAATCCTAGCCAGTCTATCTTGCACCTATTATCGACTGCACAGCAGGGGCTCGCGGAGATGGGGCCATACGAGCATCTCGGTTGGCACCGCATCCGGGAGATCAGCGATGATGCGCGAGCGGCATGCGATGAAGCAATTCATCTCACCATCATGGCTGGGTCAAATTTTGTCACTGCGCAGCTTGGGGAGGAGCTTGGCTTGAAGCAAATCTGGTCTGGCAAGACGACTCATGTGCCGTTCCGATTTGCTGTCACGACGACACCCGGGGGCCATGTTAATGCTGATACTAAATTCGATGCGCACCTCGTACAGGTCGCACGCATGGACCAGATTTTGCGGTACTTTGAGCAGGCACTACGCCAGTTGGTTGACGTGGATGATGTGGCCCAGACGGTGGCAGATATCTGGTTTGAGGATGACTGGGGACAGGCATCTGTGCAGAGCAATGATGTCAGTGCAGGCTCTGCGCAAGCGCGGGCTAGGGCGATTCAGAAAGTTGAGTGAAAATGAATCCGGTAGTGGCGATTAAAACGCAGGTAGAAACTTTTTGAGAGCATGAGCAGAGACCGTAAGTAGATTTAGACAGAATGATAGAAGACTACAGCATTAACATTACAATCTCATCCATGTCGAATCATACTAACGACATGGCACCATCAAAAGCATATATAAAGATGAGAGCTTGTATACCATCATCACCATCTACTAAGAACAATATCATAGACAGCTCTACCAAAGGAGCCCATCGTCTCCACTCTACATTTTCCTTCAACCTCCCCCTAAACAGGCGCAGCACATCCAAAAGACGTAGCCACCGTACCACCCGGCCCAAACACCTCAACTAAACTTTCAATGGCAGCCCACATGCCCATGCCAGAGCATGCGAGCCCACCGCAGAAATAGAAGATACAAAACAGATTCAGCACCCAGTGCTTCTTAAATCCACGGATATACCGCTGCATGCCTGAATCATGGCGTGCCGTCACGCCTGTCGCAGGGTCATAACCTTCTCCAGGCAGCGCAGCATCCTTCTGGCATCGGAAGCCAACGTATAGGATACCTGGTAAAGTGTACGTGAAGTTGAGGATTAGGGCCGCACCAACCATGCTGGAGATTCCACTAAAATTTGGCACGGCAGCGGCGATGACAAAGGCGATCACCCAGTAAATTGGGCCCAGACCGTACCAGAGCAAGCGGCCGCGTTTGGTGGAGATGTCTGGGAAGTTGAGAAGCTCCATGAAGACTTGTTGGTAGATGCTCTTCATGCCGATGTTGAAGTAGAGAACTGGCTTGGTTAGCGAGGCGCATGGAAGTCAATGTCAGAGGAGAGTAGAACATACTGCAAGCGATAATGGATGTTAAAAAGTAGACTATATTTACTGCCATCTGTAGACCTTTCGGCTCAACTACGTTGTAAAGGTTGGAGATGGAGTATTGGCCGTAGAAACTGTAGACCTGTAATGATGATGTTAGTAAAATGCTTCTCGAGGCAGAGGCCAATCTGAAGGGATGCTAACAAAGGCACCGAAGAAGATGTAGACAAAACAAATGAACAACTGGGCGCACAACAGTCCCTTCCAGAAGTCCCATGGATGGCGCATTTCAGCCAAAAAGGCAACGAATAGAATAGCACCTCCATAGCTGTCTATGACAGGGTCAGTCGGTAATATGGAGAATATGGGAATCGAATGAAGGCTACTCACAAACCATCTGGTCGACACCAGTGAACTGTCCCGAGAACCCCGTCGCCTGAATCTGATACTGGTCGGGCGGCGGTCCAGCGAAGACCTTGACGGGCTCGACGACCTTGATCAATGTGGACGAGATGACGGCTTCATAGTCGATACCAAAGTGGCCACCTGCCGCGACCATGCTATTATAAACTGTTAGCGCATGTCTGCCGTGAGAGTACAAGCTTGAAGACTCACATCATGACGAAGTCCGCGATATTCAACCACACGGCAGCGTTGGTCAGCCATCCGAGACGCTGCAAGGACCGAATGCTTCCACAGACCATGCCGATGACCATCATGATTATCATACACGCCACAAAACACACACTCTCATTGGACAGCTGCGACAGGATCTGGCCGTTACCCAGAACCAGAACGGACACCGACATCAGCAGCTGCAACGACTGTCCGATGTTGACCACATGACGACTCCAAGCTCCAAAAACACGATAGTAGGTGTCACCGAAATTGATCAAGGGGTAGCGGGTCGAGTCGAGCTCTAGAAACACCTTCCACAAAATCCAGCCACTGAAGCCAGCGAAGCAACCGAATACAATGAACAAAGCCACGGCCGGACCGTATCCCACACTTGCAAAGACGAATCTAGATTACAGAGCCTCCCGGTTAAATATTATGCGAAACGGTCATTGGATTCGACGGCCGAAGGATTACTTACGGTGCGTTTGCCCAGCCCAGCACGTCGGTGGTGATCAAATAGAAGACGGTACCCCAACTTGCTGTTCGGAGGGCGCGAGATGCAGTTCTCCATTCCTCATCGGTGACAGCTAAGGACGAGTCCGAGGGAGTAGATGCGACCATGCCCTTTTCACCATCAATCTGCGGGCTATTGTGGGCGCCTTTCTTATCATGGTCATGGTGAACGCCCTTCGAGAAACGGTTCTGAATGACCTTGCCGACGGTCAGAGGCCCGCGCTCCAGCACGTACTGGCGGTTCTCCTCCTCTTCCAGCTGACGCTCAATATTGGCCCAGTACATGTACTCCTCGAGGGTGACGTTCGGATCTAACCGAGCGCGAGCACCATCGGCACGTGGAACCATCTTCAGGTGGGTTTCTCTATCCTGTCCGTATGCTGGGAGGACTCCCAGCACAGGAGGGATCTCCGCCGGCTCGATCTCGGTAGCCATGGTAAAGCAAGGCGAAAGACGAACACAATCGCCGGAAGAAAGAGAGAGTAGAGGACGAATTTGAGGGGTGTGCAAAGATCTAGAACTGGGGGAGGTGGGATCGGCGGAGCTTAAGAAGGACCAAACAGCAAGCACGCGACGGGGCGAGTCTACAAAGCACTAGCTGGTAGTGGATGCCAGACCAGTCAAAGGGAGGCTGACAGGAAGATAACGCCCACAAGCTAATAGCTAAAGAAACGAATAGGATTGCCAGAAGCGGGATTAACAGGCGGAATCCGATGGATCACCTTGGGCTAGTATCTACATTATCGCCGTCAGTATGAGCTGATCCAGCAATGATAATCGATGCAATTTAATAAACGCCAACAGCAGCGATGCTCGAGCGACGGTGGGCACCCATCCAGAAAGCCATTGACGGTCCATTGGAAAGTTAAACGGTCTGCATCCCCCCACTCCGAGAAGGGCACCACCACTAGCCAGGAACTTGATTGGCACAACAAGGTCTTCTGGAGCATCCGTCGAAGGTCCGAAGGAGGGGTGGCGTCTTGAGTTAGCTGGTTGGGAGGGTAATACAGCAGATAACCGTGGGCTGCACGAACGGCTTGCCACGAACCAGGCGACTCCACCGTCGGCACGCTCGTTTGCTCGGAGAGTTGCAAGACTAGACCAGGGTCACAGGCTTGCTGCGGCTGGAGTCGGATGCCTATGAGCTTAGTGAAAAAAAAATCCTGATATGATGAAGGAGAAGAAGAGGATGGTCTTGAGTGTGATTTCCTGGCTGAAGCACGTTATCGCGCCCAATGAGACCTGACCATAATTATTGTCTGCAGGTCAACCATTGGATCGCAAAATCCGATCTGGAGCACCATCTGATACACCGTAAGCCAATGTTGGCCTAGGGAAGAGCAGGTGGTGTGGGTAATCGGTTGTGGATGCGCACATATCGGACCAAAGGCCATTTTCGTAACGGGCTGTGGGAAGATAAGGGTGACCCCCGGGGCTAGTAAACCGAATATCATTACCATAATCCATAAGTAACCCAATCAATGAAAGTGAACGAATGACAAGGGAAAGACAGGATTGAAATTGCCGACGGAGAACCGAGTGGATGGGGACAGCGGCCATGCGACCGCTGCACTAGCGCCCCCTTGTCTTGCTTCCCATCAATTTTACCGAATTTCATGGACTAATTCCCCTTACACAATAGATCTGTCTGGCTGCAACGCTCTTACATCTGGAATGTTTGGTTCCAGCCACAGCGGCACGTAACCCAAAAGACTGTCGCTTATTACTTACATAGTAGTGCATAACAGTAGTACTACCAAGTATGGTAGCGCGGAGACGGTCTCGGGGGTCACCGAATGGATGAACCAGGAATGGGTGACCAGGGCAAGAGAGATGAGTGAAGAAAAGAATTTTGCGGCATCGACTAGACTAGCCGGAAACCCGGAGGCCCTGTGCACACGGGCTTATCAAAAGGACTCCCTCTATATCAGTATCGAGGCCAGTCCGTCCCATGGACGGCATGACCACTCAGTGGCTCTAAGCCCCATCCGCTCGTTGCTTGGCCTGTTGCTTGTTTCCCAAGCACGAAGCTTGGCCTCCACATCGGCTCCAACGATGTAAAAAGTGGATATCTAGTCCACTACGCAAAATAAGTGTGCCTTTGGTACAGACCTCGCACTTCGTTGTGGCAATCTCAGAGAAATCCCCCCCGGTTCCATTGATAGGAATCGCCGTGGTGTGGTACTTGACCGTGGGGATCAAACTTTCAGCTGAAGCTTACGGAAGACCGGAGTTTGGTGGAAATGTGGGAGCAACAAAATGCAGGTGGCAGGGGAGGGAAGTGAGACAAGACGCTGCAGTCTGGGGTCTGGAGTAAAAGCAACCAATCTTTTTTGGGTGGGTGGCGGTGGATGCCGGGTGGCAGCACGAACAATGGTCCCCCTATCAGAGAGTGCAGCCTGGCATAAGTGGGTGGGGATAATATGGCGTTGGATGGAGAGGACTGATTGGAAGGATTAGTCCAACCAGACCAACTAATTGCCGGCTCGGGCATGCTACTAAGCAATTAGCAAATTACTCTCCAGGGTTTTCTGGTCGGGTGGAGCCGCCTGCAGCATTCTAATAATTCACTATTAGGCGATATAACGCAACTGGTGTAACCCCAATATGCAGCACCGGACAGGCAGTCAAATTTCTTCCCGCTTTTCAATACGTGGAAGCCGCAGGATCCCGGTCGCATGGCAAATTAATACTTTGTAGTACGCTGACCGCAATCATGGGGAAGCAATTGGTTGGTTATCTGGCGCAGATTTGAATCGGGGGTTACTAATTAACCAACCAACCTCCCCCTCTCCCTCCGCCATCTCTTGATCAGGTGAAGGGTATTCTGATGTGACTTCGGAGGCCTGAAAAAGCGCAATGAGACTTTTACGTCAAGTAATGGAAGGTGGACGGTGAAAATCCGACAATATCCCTAGAACGAATTGGGCGGGTGAGGGAGCTGGGATGAGTGCAGAATAGTTGGGGGACGGGAAGCCGCCAACCCCATCATCCCGAGCGCCGAGAACTTGCCGGGTCTCACAGCTCTTGTCTAAAACACACCTAATCTTCTCACACTGTTGATCCTACTTGTTTGAAAGTAAGTGTAACTAAGAGCATGAGGCTCGTCCTTTGTTGTGACTTATTAGACATGGGTGTTTTGAACAGCACATTGCAATATGTACTATTCTGGTCTGCGCTCAATGTTGGTATTTCCAACAGTTCGATCGGCGACAGCATCGACCCGTACTTACTCCGTTTTTCGCACATCTTATGACCTCTCACATTCTGTGTCATGCTATCAGTTTTCTCAGAATTATTTGATTGGTAAGGCATCTCAATAACAGATATAGAAATCATAACATAAATGTGTGTTCTCATTAGCTGTTAGCTGCCCTTTGTGCTTGTTCTTTATAATATTGCATATGCTGAATTATTTATTATATATTTCAATGAACCCTACTACTACATACAGGTAGTATTAGATCAGTAGACATTGATTATATAATATTCTTTTTGCATCTCCAATCCACTCTAGTATCTGTGGTCTAGATACGAATAATTATATAATTGCGTCTCTATTCTCTATCTCTCTGGGCCTTGCCATTCTTCATGCTATCCCCACCATGTTAAACTTCCATCACAGGTAATGAATTCTATCCCATGAAAGATCAAGCAGTCAGAGTAGATCTCGCATAAACAGCCATCCTCCCTTGCTCCGGTAGTCCAATGAGTGACCCTCGCGTTACTTTAATATAATCGGACGCAGCGTCTTCCAGTTTGAATGTTAAATGACAGCACGAGACACGCTATGGTCAAGTATAACTCGGAATAAGGTAGACTATCGATAAACGTTAGATAACATTCTTCGGGATTGATGTCTCAAGGACTCATTATACACACTGCCATGCATAAGACGATTTGCACCGGTTGATAGTTGCAAGCAGCATCTCCTGCGAAGCTGCTTCTGCGGAGTATATTATGCTGAAAATCTGATTGCTGCAGATCATCCGTTGACCGTCGTTCCTGATACTCTCATACATGCCCTACAATAATCATCGCCTATATAATTGATGTAACGTTGGGGCCCGTATCTCTCATCGCCTGGTTGACTTGACGCGATATATCGTTTTCTTACTCATAATTATTTTAGTCCCCCGGGTTTCTCAGCATCCCATTAAATATATAAATTAATAGGGGAGTCAATAGAATGAATATAAAATAATAAATTGACAGGCCCTAGAACATGTTTCAAACATCACATACCATAAAATAGTAAATACTATATAAATTCTCCAAGAAAATCCAATATCTAGAACGAATAGTTTTTCTTCTTATTCTTATATATATAAATATAGGCTGACGCCTCACAGATCCACAGCTTAAAATTTGTATCTTTATAATGTAGTGTTATTCCAGAGTTGGGTTATAGATATAAACCTCATCAAAATAGCTCACGAAACAGCTCCGGGTACGCATTCCAGGTACTTTCCGCCGCACTGTTGGCAAGAGAACTAGGATGTACAGCAGTACAGATGATGGCTACACACTGCGTACGCTATATGCGGTTGCGCAGGATTAGGATAAAGGCAGAAACCGTGAAATTTATACTTTAATACCTTTGGTATAGTCAATTTAGACGGGCTCACTCGATACCCAGCAACTTTGCGAGCCCCTCCGCCGCATGTTTCCCCAACCCTTCCAGATTCCCCATCCCCATCATCTCCAATACGGTAATATCAAAGCCGAACGCCTGTCTCCACCAGCTGCGCATCTCCACACCCACCAATGAGTCCATGCCCAGCTGCGACAGCGGCAGCGAAGTATTCAAGTCCTCGCCCGTCTTGAGCAAGAAGTTGAACAGCTTATTCCCGATTTCTCTTGCCAACAGGCTAGCGCTTTCCCCGGCCCTCAATATATACGGGTCAGATTTTGCCCGGGCGAGGAAGGCCTGCAGAGTATCACCGTCGGAACTGACATTGTGTACGTTAGTCTTCGCGACGGAATTATGGTATAGCGCCATACGGCTATCCTTTCTCCAGAACACGCGACTCTCGGGACTGCTGAGGGGAACGGATGTGCGAAGACCAAGGATGAAATTATTTTTGTCTACAAATCCTAGGCCGTTGTTGACATTATTGGCCGCGTTGGGTTTCAAGGAGAAAGACATCGTGGCCAGTACGGCCTCGAGAAGCTCAGACTCGGTAAGATGGTGCGCACCCGTCTGCTTCAGGCGCTGGAGCAGGGCGTCGTCCTCCGCCACGTAGCCGATGTCTTGGACCGCGCCGATATCGACCGCGGAGGCGGCCAGCCCCAGTCTGGTCCGGTACTGGACGAAGGCGTCCAGGAAAGTATTTGCTCCGGCGTAGTTGGCTTGGCCGGGCAGACCCAGCACACCGGACGTGGATGAGAAGAGCACGAAGAAGTCGAGGGTGATCCCGGCGGCCTGGGTGGCG